TTGATTCAAACCGAATGTTTTACTGACGAAACGGATATACGTGTGAGACATCTCAACGCGTTCAAAGATAAAGATGATTTAATTCGATTAAGTTCAAAAATTGTACTGCGCAACGACGTTTATAATTTTAAGTGTCCTATCGTTCTTCCCGGTAAACATCGAATCGTTAGTCTGATTATCAAAGAAAAGCACGAAAACTTAAACCACGCCGGAATAGAGATTTTAATGAACGCATTGCGTGAAGAGTATTGGATCATAGGCGGTCGTAAAGTAATTCGATCGGTGATTACGAAGTGTGTAAATTGTCGCAGACATGATGCGAAGGCTTTCCAGACAATTAATGCACCATTACCCTTAGATCGGGTAAAAGACGCGGCCGTATTCGAGGTTATAGGTGTAGATTTCACCGGGCCCGTGTATCTTAAAGGCGGCCAAAAATCATGGATTTGTTTGTTCACGTGTGCGGTTTTCCGTGCAGTACATCTTGAGCTCGTGACATCGTTGTCCACTGCGGCGTTTCTTATGGCTATTCGGCGTTTCATTGCGCGTAGGGGAAGGCCGAGTGTGATATACAGTGACAATGGCACGAATTTTGTTGGATTGAATAATATGTTTAAACAACTGGATTTTGAAAAGTTGTCCCGAACGTTAGCCACCGAACGAATTCAATGGACATTCAATCCTCCATCTGCAGCGTGGTGGGGCGGATTTTGGGACCGGTTAAATGGGGTCTTGAAACGATTATTGAGACGAACGCTTAAAAGATCTTGTCTTGATTACGAAGAAATGTTAACAGTCTTATTAGATTGCGAAGCGGTGATTAACTCCAGACCAATTACTTTCCTCTCCGAAAGCAAACAGGATATTCTGCCTATAACTCCGTCTATGTTCTTGCAAGAGATAAAGGAAATAGGAGTACTAGATTTAGATAAGATAGAGAAATGCGATTTATCCAAAAGATACTTGTATCGTCAGAAAATCAAGGAAGATTTACGACAAAGATTTCGAACCGAATATTTAGGTGCATTGATTCACCGAAAGTCTAATGCAAAAACTGTGCAAGCTATCGAAGTAGGCGATATAGTTTTAATCGAGAATGAAAATGTAAAACGTTTGGATTGGCCTCTGGCGCGCGTCAAGGAATTAATCGCAGGTAAAGATAATAATATTAGAGTCGTTCGATTGACTACTGCCAGAGGCGAATTGATTCGTCCAATACAAAGACTTTATCCTTTGGAACTTAGATATGAGAAGAGTGAGTCCAAGGTGGACGAAATTATTGCGGACAAATGCAAGGATACCAGGAGATTCAAGGAATCCAGAAGTAGTGCTCCAGATATTAGCGGAGCGTATGATAAACGCAGTTGCGATAATAAATCGTATGTAACGAGAGCTGGGAGAAAAGTTAAACCCCCAGAAAGACTGTCTTATACTTGAGTCTCTTGTGTCATTCTCATACTTTTAATTTGACTGTTTTGTTGTTTTGCGATATTGGTTTTATGTATTCTGTTCTTGTATTAGGATTTTCTTTTTTATTTTGTCGTGTCATGTATGTATTGAGATGACCGAATCGTAGCCATCTCAATGGTGGGAGGATGTTGGATTACGGTTGAGCGCTAAGCGAGCGACTTTTGTTCGACGCGACGTTCATTTTGGTTTTCTTTTTGGTGAGCGATGAGAGCGCCGGGGCTGCGAGAGCCTACGGGGACAGTTGCACGACGGGCGTCGTCGATGTATGAGTTAATCAATAAAAGTAGCATTTTCTTCAGAGTTATTTCCCGATTTCGACTTATACCCGTGTCTTATACTACAACAGATACAGTTGTGCAATGAAAAATTGTCCAAATATTTCTGGTCGATTGCCTGGGCTCAGTTTTTTTCCTTTCCGCGAGATCCAGAAAGGTTAAAGTAAGAGTAATAGTATAAATATTAAATTTTTGTTACAAAATTCATTTGATAACTACTAAGTTTATTTACTGTGCTATGTACTTAGCTATGTAAACATATTTATATATATATTTGGATTTTTTCAGATCTAGTTTATGGTTAAGAAATTGTGGGCGTACTATTGAAACTTCAATAGAAAATTTACATAAAAATTATCGTGTTTGTGAAAATCATTTCGAATTATCTATGTTTTTAAATGATTTAAAAAACCGGTTGCAGCCACATGCATTTCCAATACCATTAGATAATCATTTAATACAGAATTCATTGTTAATTTCCGACAATCAGATATTTTCAAGTACACTGAAAAAAGAATTTATTAAAATCAAAAAATTATACTTGATTTAAAAAAAGCATTTATTTCAATACTCCTAACCAAATATTTGTTTAAAGGAAATAAATATATTTCATTGATTTAAAAAATATTCTTTAATTTCGAAAAATAATAAACTTAAAGAAAAAACCTATCAGTTTAATCTGAAAAAACAAAAATTGAATTTAAAAAAACATTTACTTTAATAAAAAAATTTTATTAAACTTAAAAAAGGATGTTTAGAATTTACAAAATGTGCAATTTAAATTAAACAAATATTTTTTAAAAGTAAAAAAATTTATTTTTGAAAGTGTTATATTCAAATAAATCATTTATTTGATTATTTATATTTAAATAAATCATTTATTTGAATATAACACTTTTAAAAATAAATTTTTACTTTTAAAAAATATTTGTTTAATTTAAATTGCACATTTTGTAAATTCTAAACATCCTTTTTTTAAGTTTACTAGAACAATACAAAGCGCGCGCTTCGCGCGCGCCATTGCTCGTTTTGTATAAAATATATAATAAAATAATAAAAAATAAATAATTAATAATTAATAAATAAAAATAAATTATATAATTATACATAAAAATATAGATATATTATGCTGAAAAAGTAATAATTACTTTATAAATTAAATATAATAATTACCATGTAACTATAAATAAAACATTTATACTTGCAATATTATCTGTATACAATATACTACACATACACACATACACACTCCCTCCCCCCCCCCTCTCTCTCTCTCTCTCTCTCTCTCTCTCCCTCCCCCTCTCCCTCTCCCTCTCTCCTCACCCTTCCTCTCCCTCTCCCTCTCCCCTCCCCCT